TTGGATATAAATCAAGGATTAATACGATGCTGCGCACACCATAGTTATATGGAGGAATGATTTCAAGCTATATTTTTACTAAAATATTTGTAATACATTCAACACATACCCGGGTTTTTGTGTTAATGCGAAGACAACGTTTCTATATTTCTTGATGTGCTCCATTAAATTACTAGTTAGCAGGTTGTTCCCACGAATTAAAGACAAATAAGACAGCGACCATGTAGTTTCACCACAAATCAAATTTATGCAATTTAGGTAATACTTATCCATGCCTGTAAAACTGCATTGATAGAAATAAACATATTAATATTTTGATTAAATTTTATTTGCAAATAACTCGCGAGACAATCTCGTCAGTAAGTGCCAGGTGTCTCCGGAATTTCCATGTTTTGTTGCACTCCGCTGGACAGTCCAACGGCCAAATAGATCCTTAGTAGTGGTAGAATCTGCATTTCGTTTCAAGAGTAAATTCTCACACCAGTTAACTAAGTAATCCACTATAATATTAATAATAATAACAAGGGTGCATTTATTCACTCTCCATCTCTTTTTTATTGATCTGCTATTTCTATTGAACTACCTCATTTGAGAACTCAGATTTCATCTTAAGAATGGAGGCTCCATATTTTCTTGGTGCTTTCTTTATTGGTAACAAGTCGCGAAGCCATGGAAATATCTTGAACATTCCGCTGTTTCCGGGTCTCTTCATAACTGTGTACAAGTGTTGGTTGAATTTCATTGATACGTGGGTAGCCCGAGGTGCAGTGTACTCTTGTTAAAATCTCTATAACGAACTGCTGAGGATTCACAACCCTCCTCAACAAACAAAATAATCTTCGCTATCATCATCTGATCCTATAGGGCACACGGGCACCTCGTTTCCCAACTCTTCCTTTCTATGGCAGCCCTAACCGGTCTTCTCCTGTCGTTGGCACGATATGTGATCACTGCATCCTAATCAGCCTTAACAGGGAGATAGCTCAGGCGTCACTTCTTACAAGGAAAGATAATTTCAAGATGGCGTAATTGCTGGACTTCATCCTTTTCTGATCAAAAGTTTTACTCAAGCCGATACTTACGAATGAATGGTGGGGAGAGGGCCGAAATCCCTTTCTTGGTCATATGACAGTTCTTTTCTACTTGAGTCAGCGTATGATTGCAGTACTCAGTAACAAGTTCCTTATCACTACTTCCAAATTGAGATAACACCACAACTTTTCCATAGTTTGGTTTGTAAGGGGTAGTTATGTTTTTGCGAGTTGGTCACGGATTGATATCAGTTAGAGAACCATTGAAAACCAAGGAGACAGGACAGCTGCTGTTTTATCCTAGTTTGAGAATCATCGGTAGTACGCACCCACTGGGATTCGAATTCAGGACCTTCCGGTTACAAGGCAAGCTAGTACAGCATTCAGCCATGCACTGAGATCCAATTCAATGGCTCCTGAATTCTAACTTCTACCAGTTTGTGGTTTAGCGCGACCCCAACCATTGTCGTTGGTGGGACATTCATCCACACACGTGACATCTAATTGGATCTCACTGGTCACGACTTCTCACTAGAACTCAGGAAACTTCTACTAGTGTGGTGAGAGCAGGCTGCTAGCCGATTGGTTGGCACTAATCTACGTTAAGGTCTAGGTCACTAATGTGGGCCGTGAGAAGATATGAACAAGGCTGAGTCAACAACCAATCACAGCAAAGTTAACGTGACAAAATATGATTCGCAGATAGAGAACTCTATTTGTCAAGGAATCCCGAAACAACCAATCAGAAGCCTGCGTTTGTCTACCTAAACAACCAATCAGATGACTGCGCTTGTCTATGATAATGTAGTTGAAATATGTATAAATACGTGTTGATTTTCATAATAAAACGATCTGTTGCCTGGCCCTTGTCTTCTGTTGTTACATTTGGTGTCGCTGCCTACCGACAAATGAAAAGCCTATACCCTGCAGTTTTTGATGGAGACATATGGATCTTCGGGCAGGACTTCAAGGCTTCTGCGCAGTTGAGTGGCGTTCAAGATCTGTCAGCGATGGAGCTGCTACTTGAGACGCTGCTGGGAGGTCGGGCGAAAGCAGCATATGAAGGTGTGGGCCGAAGTATGGACGAATGTTCGACAGGGTCAGGCAAACAGTTTCCAAAGTGGGAAGGACCATATATGGTCACTTCGAGATGGGGTTACGCAGACACAGTCGCAATGGCGAACAATGAGAGGCGCGTGAACGTCAGCGAGCTCCAGAAATGGATACAGCGAGACAAGCCAACGATGACGCCTGCACCAAGTAGATCAAGCCGACTTCAGTCGCACGTATTTGACGGGGGGACGAGTGTGGTGAGAGCAGGCTGCTAGCCGATTGGTTGGCACTAATCTACGTTAAGGTCTAGGTCACTAATGTGGGCCGTGAGAAGATATGAACAAGGCTGAGTCAACAACCAATCACAGCAAAGTTAACGTGACAAAATATGATTCGCAGATAGAGAACTCTATTTGTCAAGGAATCCCGAAACAACCAATCAGAAGCCTGCGTTTGTCTACCTAAACAACCAATCAGATGACTGCGCTTGTCTATGATAATGTAGTTGAAATATGTATAAATACGTGTTGATTTTCATAATAAAACGATCTGTTGCCTGGCCCTTGTCTTCTGTTGTTACACTAGATCGGAAGCAGGGCCGCAGTCCTCCATTTGTACAGAGCGAACAATTTCCAGTTAGCTTTGTGAAATGATAAGCAACTTCTGAATAATTCCCAAAATCGGGGATAGCATGATCTCAAATTGACATAAACATTTATAAGTGCATGAATTATTAATGTCCTTTTCACTTTCACATACTTTCTCTTTCTGTTATTCTGCTGCTCCTATTCATCTTCTGGTCGAGGTCGAAAAACCCTGCATCTTAACTGAGGATTAATTCCAAACCGTCTATTTCATAACCACTCAAATTCCATGGACGATCTAATTCTACCATTTGAAGACTCTGGCGAACATGCTGTAAATGAGTATTCATGATCTGAAATGAAGAAGCAACTGGTTTTCAAACAGTTTTAAACATTTTACTGAACTTACGAATACAGTCCGCCATGCAGACACAAATGGAGCAAATGGAGAATTCTGGAATCGACCTCGGCACCATTTGATGCAGTAAAACAACCTAACATGACCTTATCTAGTTTTCGCCTCCACGATCAAATTTCTTTCCCGTTATAAAACTACGATAAGACTGCTGAAAAAGTGGAATAAATATATCACTGATCTCAACATAATACATCAATAATCTTTAAGCCAAGGGTGTTGTTCACAACAAAGTTATATAGGAGAATTGACTTCAAGCTTTAATTTTCCCAGATATTTGTATTACATCCATCTGATGTCTGGGTTTTTTGTTAATGCGAAGACAATATTTCTATATTTCTTTATTTGTTGCACAAACAGACTTTATAGCAGACTGTTTTGATGGACTCTAATGTCAGAAAGGATAACCACACTGTAAATTCATCACACTAAATTATGTGTAATTTATATGATAACTGATCCATGCCTGTACAATTGGTATGTTTCTGCATAAACAGGAAGAAATATATATATATATATATATATAACCCTATAAGACTATTTAACTAGCCTGAATATTTTCTTATAGACCATTCTTTGACAACTGCGATCTCTGTTGAGCCAATTAATGTTGATTCGGATCTATACATTTCTGAAGAATGTTTCTTTCAACCCTAACAGAAAACGTTTGGCAGGCCGTATCTTGAGGCGTGCCTGCCTCAGACGCTCCAAGGCCGTCGCCACTCCTCTCGGATGTTCTTCCGCGGGGTGAATTAACAATTCAATATCCTAGAAACAATTTGGATACATCAAAGGAAGGAATTTGACTGGGTTAGGAGTACAGAAAGTGTTGTATCATAGGAAGCGGAGGGTTCGGCGGAGTATTTTCTGAAACGACTTTTACGGTATACCATTTCATATTTTTAGGAACAGTGGTAGATATTGCATTGCTGAATGGGAAGGTCACTCATATACAAGACTGTTTAGGTTTGACTTCGGACAAAAATTAAACTTTCGGTGGGATAAAGGTTGCTGGGCAAAGCAGATATGCTGGGGAAGAAAAGAGAGAGCATATGAACAAGTAAAGTGGTAAACAACCTGAAAATTAAATAGCACCAATAACAACAGAAACAGGTGTGTTCTCAAAATGCTTTTATAGAAAATATGGAATTTTCGCCGTTTATTACAACGAATTTACCGACTGTACAGAATCTTCAGGTAATGTGACAACCAATAGTATATCATGTAAAGCGACACTGTCCTCTCCAAAGTATGCTCGAAAAGCTGTACAATTCTTTTCCTCCGCTTCCTTTGAAAGGCACACAGAGGTGGGTACAAACTTATTTAAAGGCTTGCGCAAGCGTAGATTGCAACATGAAGTGGTGACCGGATGACTGAAACGATAATAAATGGAGTTGATGATATGCGTATGGAAAATTTAGGTAGCCCACTGATTCGAGCAGGACACCTAATTTCCCTGTCTCTTAAGCCCACAGCATCCCACGCACTCTTGGCTCTCCAAGTGTTACTTCTAATAAAATCTCTGTTCATAGATTTCACACAATCACAATGTTTTAGCACCTCTATATCCTACATTAACACTCATTCGCCTCAGATCTTTACCAGGTTACCATACATTTCCCCCGTTTTTTGTGGTCAAGGATTTTTTTCAAATGAGTTGCATTTGTTCCTCTGCTCTTGGTTCAATTTCCTGTCTTTCCAGAATGAACGACGTCCTCTACCTGGTTGCTAAGTATATCTCATCATGTTCAACGAAGCTTCGAAGTCCGAGGAGCGATTTCACGGGAACCCATCTTAACCTAGGACCTTATTTCAAAGTCAAAAAACGAACACCAGACTTTTCAAAAAGGCATGACTTTGTTTGGTACAGAAGCATTTCCTTTAGGTAAAAAATTATCGCAGCATTAAATGAATGCCATTAGCGAAAATATTCACATCAGCATCTACGTCATACATTACAACGAAAATTGAAAGGAGTTAAATTCACCGGGTCATCCAATTGGTGTCTTGTAGGCATGGTGATTGGTTGAGCAGAAATATGGTTTGGGTTCCGCTAGCATTCATTTTATATATAATACCACCTTGTACTTACTTGCCAGTTTGCATTAAGCGATGAACTGGCATAGTTTTATGAAACATTTACATGCTATTGTGTTAGCCCTCATATTGTGCAAAATGCATAAGTATGAGGCAGCACCTGTTGGTCAAAACTATGTTATTATAATTGATGCTGGTAGGTGTCCAACTTACTTTTTGATTTTTTTTCAGGAAGCAGTGGCTCACGAATGTTTGTATATACTTGGCAGAGCAAGGCAGAGTCAATTAGTGGGTTGGAAGACGTGGAAATTTTGAAGAACAGTCAGGGGAAACCTGTAGTACAGAAGAGAACTCCTGGTCTTTCAAGTTTTGCTGATAAACTGGATGAAATTCCTAAATATATATCATCTTTGTTGGATGTCGCTGTAGAAAATATTCCTACGAGTGCTCTGCCCAACACTCCTCTTTTCATAATGGCTACAGCGGGGATGAGGCTTCTTTCTCCAACGTATTTTTTAAAATTCAGTTTATGCTGATTTTGAATTTTAGACAACAAGATATGATTTGGCAAACTGTTCGGGATCACGTTAAATCTCATTACCGTTTCGACTTCAAATATTCTGATGCGTATACGATCTCTGGTACTGAAGAAGGTCTGTTTGGATGGATTTCTGTTAACTACTTGCTGGGGCGTTTTCGGCCGGTGTCTAAGACTAAGGGTGAGAAATTTTTACCTTCCTAATTCATTGTCTTTAATGAATTTTCATCATAGTCGTATTGGGTACCTAGTCAGCACTTATCATATGTTGTTTGAAGTATACTCAATGTTTAGATGCTATTGTTTCATTATAGGAACAAGTAAATGTGTGAACTCACTCTGATTATAAATGGCCTGGAAGTTTGATCAAAGGAGTAAGAATAAACAGACACAGTTTTTCTTTTCGTTAGTACCTTTTTAAATTGTACATATGACAGCATTTTAAGTAAATGTTTGTTGGTTCCCTAATCCATTCGTTATTAGAATTATGTCGTTAATGCTGATTCTTCCCCTCTAGAAATCATAAAACAACCCACTGATGGTATGCTTGATATGGGTGGTGCAAGTATGCAGATCGCCTTTGAGATTGAATCAACAGAGAATCTGCCAAAAGAATTGGTTTCAGAATTTTCTGTTAGGGGAAAATGGTTTTCTCCTGAACAGAATTACAAAGTTTACGTAACAAGTTATTTGGGGTATGGAATGAATGCTCTTCGAAAACGGTAAGTTTATTATTAGTTACGATTCTTTTTAAATATCTGTACACTTCAATTTTGCTTTTATTTTTACGATAATAAGCGTGCAAAAGAGTAGTAAGCTTAGATTCATAGTGGGAAATTTATTTTGTTAAGTATATGATTCATTATGATAATTCAACAGTTTGTTTGCTTTATATCAGAAAGGTTCAAAACTGTTTGGGTTTGATTTTGTTTTTTCAATAGTTGTTCAGAACACAAATTGTTGCCTGATTGATTGACTAACCAGCTGGTTTCAACGTAGAACTTTGCACAGATGTGCAGCAGCAGTTCCAGTCGCTACACCTCACTTAGCACATTAAGCAAAGGAAGAGAGTAAAAAGTGATACAAAACAAAGATATGAGGCAACAAGAATAGTTGTAATGTGAAAGAACAATATAGTTTTATTGGATATTATAAGTCACAAGGAGTGGATGCATCTGCGCCAGCCATCATCGAGAACCATAACTTTGAGCCAGCCAAATCACCAATCGTCTCCAGTCTTCATTGGTTCTCACCACCATCCCGAGGACCACAACCAAACAGTCAGTTAGGAAGTCTATATCTTTTTATGTGGCTGGCTGATTTGAACTAACTTGTGGATTTCATTGACTGGTGATGATGAAGCTATGTTCTGGTTTGACCACCATCACCACTGGCTAACTCTTTTCCAACCTGATCCATCCTATGTCAGCTAACATTACATGTCGGTCAAGAAACATGATGGCTAGGGATACATGCGTAACACATGTCCTAACCATCCAAGTAACTGCTTCAGAGCCTCATCTTTTGATTTCCCCTTCCCCTCATCTAGCACTCGACCGACGCCTAACCTCAATATCGCTCACTCTATTATAGCACCACCTGACACGGGAGATAGAACGCAGGTACCTGTGATGAAAGACAGCTAACCAGGAAGGCAATTTATGCCTACACTTCCAGTGGCCAAGTCTCACAGTCATTAAGGAGTACAGAGCGGACTGGTGAGCAGTACACACGCCCATTGTTCGATAGCTGGATATCACATCTTTGCCGGAGGCGGCGTAAACTGGCATATGCAAAGCGAGCCTTCTGTATCCGTGCTGAAATTTAGTCAGCGATCGCTGCTATCAGGAGTATATTTCATCCCTTGACTTTATAATAAGTACAAAGCCAGTAATATGTCTTTAATACTTAAATATGATTCATTATTGTACAGTCAACACTGAATTTTACCATAATGGTTTGTCTGGAAACATCTACCAAATCATTAGATTACAATGAAAACTGGGTATGCTTTTTATCCTACTTCTAGCTTATAACAATTTGAGTTAAGAAAACATGTTTGCTATTATCTATTCAAAACTTGTGCGGGTATGTAGAGCCTCTTTTTGTTTTGTTTTTTCTTTTTTTGTTGTTGTTGATAAATTCGTTCTAGTTTTGATTTCGAATCCCGCTTTTTGTTATGAATCAGTTTCATTAATATGTTTGTTTATTAAATTTTTTTGTCAGTTATGAGGAATTTCTACTTTACTTGTATATTGGACGTCACGGTATTCAAACGAAAAAGCTTGAAATTGAGGTAAGTTATTAAAACTATGTACATATCATTGACTTCAAATTCTTCTGTTTTTTATGCTTACAACAAGTCTTTATTGATACAAGGATAAAACTTTGGTACTGGGGTGGTCGAGAATAACTCCATTATGCATAATATTTTTATTTCGATAAAGTGTCACGCACAGTGTGTATGTTATACAGTAATATTTATTGATGACCACACGTTTCAAGCACAATTTATCATTGTTACTACTACTCATAATCATAAGCATATCAAGGCACACATCTCACACACCATTCACTTTCTTGCTTCATTTATATACCATGTTTACCATATAAGGAGGGGACATCTGAGACTCTCCCTACGTAGGAATTAGAGTGGTTGCGTTTAAACCTAAAAACTCACTCAGATAGGACAAGCTCTGTAGCACACTACTCACACACCACTCACCTTCTTGCTTCGTCATTTATATACATGCATAAGTAAACATTGATGATATTTAGACAATTTGATTGAATAAAATCATTCAGTAATATAAGATGAGGAGAAAGTACATTCGGAAATAATAATAATACTACTAGTGTTATCAATCAATCAACCAATCAGTCAAATTCAATGAGATGGGAAGGGAAATAAGACGAATGTTTTTATAGTAAAATAAATGAATAAATAAATAACTTGTTGTTAGAATGTTCTAATGTGTATGTGAATTGAATTGAAATAGAATACATTTTGAGATTATTTATTATCCTCCTGTTCTGATTTGACTGACCGACTGACTGGTGGTAATAATGTCTTGCATATCTCTGGTATTAGGTGGCGATGATGATGAGTCACTTCTATTGCATGTGTTGTGTTGTGTTGACTTCGGTGTGCAGAGTCGATGAATCGGAATTCAGGATTCAGTAAGTAATCAATCAACCTCACTCTATATGTCTTTCCACCTGCCTGAATCACTTTTTAGAATTTTGACTCTATCACATCCACCCATTGTGTTCTAAGGCATGCAGTGCGATGTGATGCTGAGTTATTTTTTTCCGAATTACTTATCTTCGTGGATGGGATCAATCATTCTAACCTCAGCTAAATTCTTTTGTTCGGACAGTAAATTTCACTACTCCTACCTGATCCACTAGTTTGACTCACCAATGTAAGTAGTTGACCTAACAGTCATCGCAAGGTATTTTGTAAATTACATTATTTTATTGAATTGGGTCAACCTACAGTGTCGTTCAACCTACCTACACAGCTTGTCCTATCTGAGTGAGTGAGTTTGTAGGTTTGAATGGCAGCATCACTGTAATTCCTGCTTTATTGGGAATCCTACGTAGAGAGGGTCTCCTTCCTCCTTATATGATAAAACTATTTTAGATGCCTTATATTCTTTGTTATGTTATCATTAATAGTTATTACTATTATTATTGCTGTTTTTTGGGTGACAGCAAAACGGTTTTTTTCTTTTGTTGAAAAATTTTGATCCATCCTCACAGCTTAGAATTCGTTTTTTCTGTTTTTCCTGTCTCTTCATTTACATTCACTATTGCTTCATTGTATTAGTCAAAAAAGTGTGTTTTAAAGGACTTTGTATAATTTTCAAGTATTGGTTTTGTAGGGAGTTTTTTTGTTGTTGTTTGATTGGTTGGAGGATTTCATCATGAGCTGACATCAGTTAGAGAACCATTAGAAAACCTGGAAGTATTGGACAGCCATCTGTTTTGTCAGCTTAGTTTGGGACCCTTCACAGTATGCATCAACTGGGATTCGAACCCTGGACCACCCTCTGGCTACAACGCCGCGCTATGTCATGAATTGGTAGAAGTTAGGATTCATGCACTGGTTGGCTATTTTATTGGGTCCCAGTGTCTTAATGGTCTTCGAGCTCGCTCGCCTTGTAACAAGAAGGTCCTGTGTTCGGACCCAGGCGGTGGGGTGTGTGCGTACTGATAAAGAGTCCTAAACTAGGCTGACGGAGGAAATAGCTGTCTGGCAGTACTCCCTGTGGCTGCTTCTCTAACTGATGTCGACTTCGTATAATGTCGATATGATTTCATTCAAACTGTTTAGTACTCACTGATTTTTTGTTTAAATTTAATATTTAAAAATGTTTAAAACAAAGTATTTTTAAGTGGCTATTAAGAAGGATTATTACGAAATCAGGTTTTCCACTGATCTTAGTTTTACGGAAACCTTTCTTACATGTTTTATCAGCACAGTCGAAGAGTAAACTCTTAGCTTTGATGGTATCATTTTGATACAGAAATGGTTTAACCCTAGTGGAATTTCATCAGGTTTCTGGCTAGTGTATCTTTTTGGTCAGACAGCTAATATCAACTTAGTATCAGTTACTACATTATTTTGTAAGTGTAGGACTTGGGCACTGTGGTGGTAGAATGTATCAACTCCATATTAGATAAGTTTATTTTCATAATCACACATACAGTGATGATGCAGTATTAACAACTGTATGACAGACAGATAGACAAGATTTCGAGCATAAATTATTGCCACTTTCATAATCCCATCAGTCAGTTTTAGTCATATGGTCTTACAATTTGTCTTATACGTGTAATTTCCCCCTATATTCTGATTCTCTTTACAAATTCTCTCCTGTGTTGTTTGTTGCCACTTTATATTATGTCCGGTATAGGCGGTGGCGTTGTGTCATCCCGATTGCTGCATACGTGCGGTGTTTATCGATCGATAAACAAATCTTCAGTGGTTAACGTCGCTCTCTCTCTTGCTGGCTCCACCTAACTAGCTATATTACCTTTTAATACTCTCACTCTGTTCCACCCACCCTGTCGGGCGTATCAATCCGTGCAAGTGAATGCAGTGCAATGGATGAGCTCGGTTTCTTCTAGGTTAATTAACTTAATTATCAGGATCAATCTGAGTAGGTCTAGTTAAATGTTTATCTTCCAATAATCTAGTTAACGCTGATCTACTAGTCTGACTGTCCATGTAACTAACCTCACTCACAGTCAGCCAGCATTAGATGGTATTTGTTAAATTATATTATTTTTCTTAATCGGGTCTACTGGGTGGGTCTTTAAGCCGATAGACAAAGTTTATCTCTGAGAGAGTTGGTTGGTTGACTGGGTTAAATGCCATCCCAACTAATTCCAGTGTCATTGAGAATTCTATGTAGGGCCTCTGACGTTCCTTCTTTATGCGACAGTGCTGCAGAGGCTTTGAATTCTATATTACTCACGTTATTTTCATCACTTTTATTGCTAATCTTGGTTTCCCTATGGTTCTTCATATATTTCTGAATAAATTCTGGTGGGTAGTGTGTAATTCACGAGTGATATTTCTTTTATTTATTTGATTTTGTTATTTAAATCTTCTGACTGACTACTAGTTAGGCTGTTGGTCCGATTATACAGACATCTGCATTTACCGATTCTGCATGGGATGAATTAAGGTCTAGGTATTTTCCATTAGAGTATGTCGGTTTCCTATAAATGCTAGTATACAATCCACCATCGTATTTTCGTTTTATTCTACAGTCAGTCTAGCATGGCCAACTCATCCTGTTCATTTTCTAACTCAGAAATGAATTGGATTTCGTTTACTATTGAGTTTGCATGTGTGAGGAATTGAGAGATATGTTCAAACTTCAACAAAGTGATGGTATGTGTCATCCACGTATCTCCACCATAATCTGCCTAGGTGGAGCAGGATTATACGTTCTAAGGGCCTTGTGTTCCCAACTATTCACAAATATGTGTGCCACTATTGGGGATATTGGTGAACCCATTACCAGCCCCTGTCCTTTTTGTATATACAGTTTATTTTGAAATTTGAATACATTGGTGGGGGTTAGACATAGCTGAACACACCTAATATTATTTCATCAACCGATCGAGGGCTGAGTCCTACTTTTGAGTTCAGGATCAATGTCCACTCCCTTTTCTAACTGCCTTCAGAGCTGTATTAATGGGAAGCAAGCTGGTTATATCAAAGCTAATGATTTTTTCATCTTTTTCTAATTGAATTTCCTTTAGTTTATGTTTAACTACATAGGAATTAGTTAGCCTAGAATTCAACCTTTCTCTCTCCAATGGGGTATAATATTAATACTAAATATTTAGATAACTCGTACTTTGAGGTGTTTCTGAAGTCAACTGTTGGCGTGATGGCGTATATTGCTTTATGAATTTTTATAATTCCATACATTCTACTAGGATTATTAGTTTTAGGCAAAAAATTAAACCAGTTTGACTCACCCAAAGATGACTTTTACTAGATCAATAGTAGATTTTTTGATTTTATTCATAATAGCGTCCACGAGTTTTTCATTTCTTCATATGGGTCTGTTTCAATAGGTTGACTGACGTTGATGGTTCATGAAGTCTAGTTTGTCCATGACTACTATTGTTGTACTACCCCTGTCCCCCTTTGCAATCACGATGTTTTCGTCGTGTCTCAAGCTTTTTAGAGCTGCTGTTTCCCTTTCTTTTTGAGATAAGTTGCTTCTTCCTTTATTCTAATTTTTTAATGTCAAGGTGGCACATTGTGCTGTGACTTGTTCCGCAGTAGTTTTGTCTATTTCACTTAATGCTACTACTATACTCGAAATGACGTCTTCAGGTTTTAATATATTAACAGGTAATTTGGAATTTAATCCCTTTTCAAGTGCTTTTATTTTATCAGAGCTTAAGACTCCTGTTGAGAAGGAAAAATATCAGTATTATAATATTCAAATCGCGAAATATATGCCGCCATTAATTCATAAGGAAAAACACAGTTGTTATCTTTTTTTTTGGTTCAGCGAAGAAATACTATCTCTTTTCGACGACTTCATTTTCAGCCAGCTGTACAGCAGTTGTATATATACGCATTACGGAAAATGAAGGCATTAATCAGTGGCACTCGAAATTGCTCACTGATCAATATTGCACATATGATGATGAGAATAAAAATATTAAAAATGATGTACTAAGCGGGAGGGGACGCGGCAGAGTTACAGTGAAAACATTTGTTTTCCGATACGAATTTAAAACAATCAACAAAGGTTA